TTGGATCAACCTCACCTGCCTTCCCAAGACTGGGGTCACAGGCATGCGCCATAGTGCTGTGCCAGGATTCTTACATGACTTTTAGAGATCCTAACTCAGATTCTCGCGCTTGATTATTTGATTCTATCATATTATTTCATTCTTTGAGAATGAGGGTCTCACTCTATAGCCCAGGCTGGCCCTGAACTTACAGTAATCCTGTCTGAGCCTCTGTGCTGGAATTACAGGCACAAACCACATCTGGCTTTAATATTTCTAATTTGCTCTTCAATCTCTCTCTCTCTCTCTCTCTCTCTCTCTCTCTCTCTCTCTCTCTCTTTCTCTCTCTTCCCCCTCATGAAGTTTCTGCTCACTATACCTATCCTAATAGTTCTTGTGAATTTAACTTTCGCCAGACAGAACACACATTTAATAAAGTGTTTATGCTTGTCATGGGCATGTGACAGAGCTGGATTCTGAACCCAGCAGTCCATGTGCTAATCCCTGGCATGGTGCCTGAAATGCAAGTGCTATGTGAATCCTGGTTTCTTCCCTACCCATCATTCCTATCCACATGCATCCATGGGCACCACTAAAACAATTCCTGTCAGAACAAAAGCACTCATACTGCTCTGGTAGGCTTCAGATTCTGCGATTCAAGAAAAGGCAGATCAGATGGTGGTGGCACGTGCCTTTAATCTCAGCATTCATAGCAGAGACAGATGGATGTCTGTGAGCCTGAGGCCATCCTAGTCGACAGAGCTAGTTCCAGGACAACCAGGGAAACACAAAGAAACCCTGTTTCAAAAAACCAAAACAAACAAACAAATTAAATTAGCCAGGCCCAGGACTCATGAGGTAGAGCCAGATGGATCTCTGTGAGTTTGAGGCCAGCCTGGTCTACAGAGCTAGTTCCAGAGAGCCAACACACACACACACACACACACACACACAACCTGTCTCAAAAAATTAAATTAAATTAAATTAAATTAAATTAAATTAAATTAAATTAAATTAGTCAGGCAGTGGTGGCACACACCCAGCAATTGGCAGACAGATCTCTGAGTTCAAGACTAGCCTGGTCTACAGAGCAAGTTCTAGAACAGCTAAGGCTACACAGAGAAACCCTGTCTCAAAAACCCAAGGAAGGAAGGCAGGCAGGTGGGAGGGGTGGGTAGGTAGGAGGGAGGAAGGGAAGGAGGGAGGGACGCAGGGAAAGAAACAAACAAGCAGACAAACAAAGTTCCTCACAAATGGTTAGAGGGCAAGCTGGGCACACTGCCCATCCGGAAAATGAAAAATCAAAACCACGATGATGTCACCTCTTCCTGTTAGAATACCTGCTACAAAAGGACAAACCCAGCAAATGCTGGCAGGGACCTGAAGAAAATGGAATTCTTAGACACCGGGATAGGAATGTAAGATAATAGAACCGTGATAGAAAGCAATATGCAGGCTCCTCAAAACAGACCCAGAACTACCATGTGAGCCAACATCCTCACCCCTTGGTGTAAATCTGAAAGGAAATGAATGCTCGCCCTCAGTGTCCCACCCTCCCACCATAGCACATTACACCACACACACATGCACACACACACACACACACACACACACACGGGCATGCATGTACACACACACACACACACAAGCACACACAGGAAAACCATTTAGACATTAAAAGAGCATGAGAGGGATGGATCTCACACACAAAGGCAAATGCCCAGTGATCTCATTCATATGTGAAACCTAACAAGGTTGCTCTCCTAGAATCTGAGTAGAGCAGTGCTTACGAGAGGCTGGGGGGACTAAGGGGATGGGCTTAGGAGCTGGCCAGTGGATAGATGCTAGAATTCGGAGGAGAGCTAAGTTCAAGCCCAGCAGGATGAATATAATTATCAGTATCCACTGAAATCCCAAAATAGCTAGAAGAGAGGATTTGGATGGTCTCCTATGAGGGGATGATGAAATCTGTTGGGTCGCCAATCATCCTGATTACCTCAACACACAATGAACCCACAGAGCACACTGCCCTGCACAGATGTAGACAGTCACTATGTAAAAACTAAAAGGCAAAAGTAACAGACAAAATCTGCCATAAAAAGGAAACCACAAAAAAACAAAGCAAAGAGCTGCGCTTGCAAACCAGGCCACCTGGACATCAGGGACACCATCATCAAAGCAAAGGAAGAGTGAAACGCCTTCCCAGTCTCTCCTCATATTTTCAACAAGGTTGATTTTTAAAATCCCACACCCAGGCCAGGCATAGCTCTGGGTGCAGTCGATGTCCAGCATGAGGCCCAGAACTGCTAAAAATCCACCATCACCCAGCATGGTGCCCTACAACTGTAGCCCCAGCACTCAAGACAGGCAGAGGAAAGAGGATTGCCATGGGTTCAGGGCCAGCCTGATCTACATAATCAGCCTAGGTCACCTAGGAATATAGATGATCCTGACTTTTAAAAAATGGGGGTCTGCCGGGCAGTAGTGGCACATGCCTTTAATCCCAGCACGTGGGAGGCAGAAGCAGAAGCAGATTTCTGAGTTCAAGGCCAGCCTGGTCTACAGAGTGAGTTTCAGGACAGCCAGGGCTACACAGAGAAACCCTGTCTCGAAAAACCAAAAAAAAATTTTTTTAAATTTAAAAATAGATGCCTGTAATCCCGGCATATTGGGAGGGTGAGGCAGGAGGATTACTGTGAACTCGGGGCTAGTGTTATCTGCATAGTGAGTTCTAGGACAACCTAGACTACAGAAATGGAGTAAGATCCCATTTCCAAAACAAATTTTAATTAAAATACAGATCCCACATGATTAAGTAAATCAGATTTCTTATAGAAACTGAAAGAGCAAAGCTACAGCTACAGCACTGGAAAATGGAAACAGAGCCGACATATAGAAAGGCAAGCATGCCACAACTAACTAAGAAACAGTGGGGGCTTTGGGTTCAAAGTTGGGGGATTTGGTTGAGCTGGCACATGACCATGGCTGAAGTTCACAGTTCCTTGACACCTTTGCTTATAGGAGTGACCATGTGTGTGACTGGGTAGCAGTGAGAGAGACATAAAAGAAACAGTGTAAGTGACTTTCAGGCGTGGTTTAAGAGGAAAAGAAACCTCTCTCTCTCTCTCTCTCTTTCTCTCTCTCTCTCTCTCTCTCTCCTTCTCCCTTTCTCTTCCTAAAGACCTCACAGATATGGTATTGAGTGTGGCAAAGCTACACTGTGAAAAGCCATGGTCCCCACCATCGTACTGCGGACCTGAAATCCTTGTGATATTAAGCTCTGCTGTTTCAACCCTGGTCACCTAAGATGAACGAGCATTCTGAACCATCATCCTTATAGGATGTAGTCAACAAAATGTTTTCCTTCCACAAACGGGAAAAATGACCAAGACCGAGAGGTAAAAAGGACTTAGCTTTCTCTGCTGAAGAATGATTGTAGGGTGAGGTACAAACCAGACAAGGCTAACAGAAATTTGGGGTCCTGCTTGGAACCTAATTGGGCATGATAGCTGTAGCATCATTGTTGCAGGATATTTGATCACATTGTGAACCCCGAGACTGTGTTATTTACTGGGCGAAAAAATAATCCTGTTTTTAGTTGTGTGGCTCAGCCTTAGCACACACGTTTAAATCCAAGAGTTTCTGCTTATTGTAAACAAGATTAAACGAAGTCAACCATAGGTCAAGAGGTGGAGGAAGCAACCAGTTGACAGGATGTGAACCTAGGATTATTAAGAAAAAACCATAGGGAATAAGAGGGAGTAGGAGGACGAATAGAGAGGCACACAGGAAGTAGAAAGGAGAGACATCGAGTTTGAAGGAGGTTCTTTAAGATGGCATGAGAGAGGAGCGTCGCTGGTGGGATGTCAGCTGAGGAGGAAGGTCAGCTGCCTCTCTGAGGTAGCAGGCTTTCACCCCAAAAGGAGCATCTGTCTCCCAAGTCTTCATTGTTAAATCAAGCAATTGAGGTTTTGTTAAAAAAAAAAAAATCATCTGTCTCAATGAGAAAGAAGAGAGTAGAGCCGAGGAAACGACACAAGGCGTTGCTCTGGGCCTCTGCTCTTCTGTGTACACCACAGTGGCCTGGGGATCACTCACCTTAGCTACAGAACATCAGCTAGGAACGGGAAAGGACACTTTGTAGAAGCAAGTTACCAGAGCATGGCTTAGAACCCAGGCCTGGTGTTTTTTATGAAGCTCACTGTCATTTTTATCATTTGCTATTATGAAGAGCAAACCATGCAGCAAGCACTCCACGTTCAAGGTACTTGATACAGCAGGCCAGGCCTTAAGAACCTGTATGTTGCCTTCTGCTGACCTTTGACCTTGTCTCTTCTTCCCTTACACCTTGATGATGGCACCCAGACTCAAGCTTTTAAAAGCCGTTCATATGCTGACATCCCAAAATGACATATCTAAAACCTTCTGAGGTTTGCTTCACCTGTGGTGAGGCAGGATGGGACCCGGGCTGTTATGTGTACACACACACACATACACACACAAATAAAGAGATGTAATAAAGGCTTTTTTTAGCTATCTTATTTAAAAATATATATATAAAAATCAATCCCTAAAGTTCCTGTTGGGGAGTCTGACTCGGAAGCTAAGGCAGGAAGGTGATGACTTCAAATTCAGCCTGTCTCAAAACTAAAGAAGCTTAGACTGCACCTCAGTGGTAGGGTGCTTGTCCATCAAGTCTTAGGACTTGCCTTCCCCAGAGATGGTGTACTCCAGAAAATGCATTTGAAATGCCAGGAACCCTCTGGAGAGAAAGAAACCTTTCACAACCTCAGCTCCACCGCTGACCACCACAGCTCTCGGATCACGTGACTCAGGCCTGCGCTAGCTCCAGAGTCCTGTTGCCTACGACTTGCTTTTCACCCTAGGGACTGGAAATGTGACTGTCTGTTCATCTCTTGAGCAAAACGGCTCAGCCTGAGTTCTAGGATTCCAGAATTCTTATGACTTTCCATGACGTTCCCCCTCTGCTTTGTCCCATGGAGAGGATGGAAAGTACTCACCCTTAGGCTAAGTTCCACATTCTGTCCTCCACAGAGCAGCCTCCCACCATCCAGAGCCCTGACCTCTGCCGAGAAGATCCTGTTGGCGCCCAAGATGCCCATGATGGAAGGACTCCTGCAGAGCACATGGCAAGAGCATCACTAATCTCTCTCCAAGAGACAGGGAAGCCCCACAGTGGCCTCCAGAATTCTACCTAAGCCTTCTCTTACCCTGAAGGCTTTGTGGAAACATTCACTGTGCTATGACCAGCCTTCACAAATGATGGTGGAATGTCATCTTTCTTCATAGGCTGATAATGTTAAAAGATCTCAAGTGCTTTCTAAAATGCTAAATACCTTTGGGGTTTTTTTGTTGTTGTTGTTTTGTTTTGTTTTTGTTTTTTATCTTCTCTAAAATCCCAGATAATGCCAAATGACTATGATTTTTAATCTGGGGTACGGCCTTTTATGTTTTTTACCATTATTATCATTGTTGTATGTTTTTCTTATCCCATCTCTGCTTTACAGCCGTTACAGTCATCAAAGACAGACAAGCCCTACACAATCCATTCTGATTAAGTTCCCTCAGCATGCCCATACTTACTTCAGTGGAACAGTGACATCACCCAGATCAATCCAGGCTTGTGGGATAGGACACAGCATCCAGCCAAACCCATCTGCTGCCAGTTCATACTTTTCCAGTTCAAATGTATTGAAATTAATATTGTCAAACACAAGAGACACGACCACGGTGTGTTCCTCCTGAATCAGAGCCAAAGTGGGATCAGTCCTAAAAGAGGACACAATAAGGTAAGCAGGATGGCACCACCGTGTGCTGGAGCAGAGAGAGAGAGACACTCTATGAACCTCGCTGTGATGTGGACGGTGTTCTTACTTAAGTCAGCAGGAACTAAAAAGGATGCTCAAGAGTCTGGAGAATGCCTTATGTTCTAGATTCTACCTAAGCAGAATAGCTGGGACTCCTAGCAATTGAGCCAGGTCAAGAGCAGATTTGAAATTGGTGTCCAACTGCCACACCCAGGCCATTGTGAATGAGGATAGTCAGTATTCCACCCTGAGTTTACATTATCCATATTTCCAACTGGTGTCTCTCTCTTGTATGACTCTCTATACCATTCAAGTCATCTTTGTTCTGTGTCATTTAAGAGCGAGAGAAACTGGAGGAATTACCAGTGATCACATTTTGTGTTTTAAAGAGAAATATGAAAATGTCTAGCTTAAGTAGCTATTCAAAGTCACAAAATGAACAAAGTCAGGGTCTGGTTGTCAGTATTCCAAGCCCCCACCCCACCTCTTTCAAATATGCATCCAGTGTAGCCTAGGTTAGCCTTTATTTCATGACTCTCCTGCCTGCCTCTACATCCTGAGTCATGAGATTATGGGCTTATACCACCATGCCTGGCTTATACCATCTCCCTTATCCACCAAGACCCCTGCAATGAAAGCTTCACAGCGCCTCTTAGCTCAAGGACTGGTGTCAGTATTCCTTGTCTTGATGACATCCTGACTTGGCATACACAATAGCTTAGTTCTGTCTTTTCCTGAAAACAGCAGCCTTCCAGAACCTACCATCCAGTGTTCACTTCACCGTGAGCATCCAAGATGGCAACCACATCAGCTACCACAGCTTCCAGGTCAGTGTTTCGGGCTTGTGCAGGACCTCTTCTCTTTATGTGCCTTATAAGTAAGTTTCAGTAGGATTGGATAGTTCTGGTTGTAAAGCTTAAAATTCTCATCCAGTTGTGCCGGTTGACGCACAACCGTGGCAATACTGAGTGCAAGAATGAATGTGATGCAGGGATTTTACACCGTCCTGCAATAGCTTGCGGGTGATGCCACTGTATAGCAAACAGCTCCAGAACGTTGACTGAGGGTCTAGAGAGCATTTTCCCAGTGCCTTCCCCCAAGACATTCAGTATCATTCCTGGTTTCCTTTCCCCATCCTTGAATCCCTCTGCTGGGGAGATGTGAATCACTGACTATGAATACATCATCATCATTAATTTACTTTACATTCTTATCACAGCATCCTGTCCCTTCTCTCTTCCCAGTCCCTCCCTCTCACCCCCCCTCCCTCATTCACTCCTCCTCCCTTCTCAGAAAAGGGGAGGCCTCCCATAGATTTTAACCACCCTTGGCATATTAGGTTGCAGTAAGACTCTTACAGGATTCCCCAAGCTCCATCTAATGTTTGGCTGTGGGTCTCTCCATCAGTTCTGTTAGGTGCTGGTGAAGTCTCTCAGATGATGATAGACTCCTGTCTGCAAGTATAGCAGAATATCATTAGCCGTGTCAGGGGTGGGTTCCTGTTCATGACCTGGGTCTCAAGCTGGGCCAGCTATTAGTTGGCCCTTCCCTCAAATTCTGCTCCATCTGCACATCTTTTAGGAAAGAAAAAAAAATGTGGGTCTAAGGTTTTGTGGCTGGGTTGGTGTCCCCAGCCCTCCATTGGAAGTCTTGCCTGGTTACAGGAGATGCCAGTTCAGGATCCATGTCCACCATTGCTAGGAGTCTTAACTAGGTCACCCTCATAGATTTATGAGAGTTTCTCATCTATGTACTGAAACACTCTAGGTAAAGAAGCAAGGCAGGCCCAGCTTGGTAAGCTTAGGCTGTAGCCCTGATGTGTAGAGTGAAAAATTATAGATACTGGGTATATAGAATCCTTTTTAGACATATAAAGTATTCTTTAGACTTTCTTTATAAGGACATGGAAATTTTTCTGAGAAACTAAGCCATGAAGCAAGTTAGGAATGTGGAAAGACCAGTCACCATCTGGCCTATCATAAAGAGAAAGGAAAGAATGCAAGTGAACTAAGTGGAACCAAGCAGAGAACCAAGCTGGGAACCAAGCTGGGAACCAAGCTGGGAACCGCAGTGACAGGGCAAGGCCAAAGTAACAGGGCAGGACCACATTCTTGAGAAAGATTAGCTACAGAGAGTTTTCACCTGACCCTGACTCATGTAGGTTGGGTTCCTTTAGAATGTTCCACTATTTTTATGTTATGCCACCCTAACAACTCCTCATCCCCCTCCCCATTCCTTGGTTTGTGGTTTTTCCCCTTAAAAACCCCTCTCAAACTGGCTGTCGGGGTCAATTCAGCTCCTGCGTGGGCATACGAATTGACCGGCAGCTAGTTGTCACATGCCCTAATAAACCTCGCTATTGCTCCGGTACGCGATGTCTCGAGCAGATTACTGGGTGGTCGCGACTTTCTGAGACTTGAGTGAGGGTCTCCCCTCTGCGGAGGTCTTCAGATGGATGAGTTTGCAGAGTCAGCCTGGGGAATCTCCTGGGCTTAACTACCAGGCTTCCTAGAGAACCTGAGTCAGCAGCTTCGCTTTGTTTTACCCATCCCCTACTGTTCTCCTTAAGTCACAATGGAACAAATGCTGAGACCAATCTTCTCTGCCAGCATCTGGCTGAATCTAGCTGAAGAGTGTACTCTCAATATTATGCAAGCACGACTCCCTCTTCCCAGACTGTTTACGAGGGTTTTCCTCCCCCTCCCCTTCCTTTGTGTAAAGCCTGTCTCCAGCCTTTGTTAACTCAAGCTACCAGTTGCCTCCTTTGCATATCTGAGAGTGGCGTCAGCTTTCCTACAAATTGCTAAGTAGTATGCAAAACAGCTAACCAAGTAACTGAGTTATCCACTGATGATGGTTTTTGGCTTGGCTGGTTTTTGAGACAGACTGTAACCTAGACTAGCCTCAACCTAAAGTAATTCTTCTGCCTTCATCTCCCAAAGGCTGGTATTACAGGCATCACTGATAATATTAATTCACCTAATCATTTCTAGAACCCTATGAATGATAGTAGTAAAGTATTTCCAATTTGCAGAAAAAGGGAAACTGAGGCATGGGATGAGTAAGCCACTTTCCAATTCACACATCCAGTCAGTGGCACAGCCATACTGTATTTACTCACACACTGGCTCAAGAGCCATGTGCACAGCTGCTCGGTTTTATTAAATTCCCCGTGCCGTCTCCTCTCTGCTTACATCCAAGGGATAAAATTCTTGTTGTTTACACTCTCAAGAAATGAATATATTTGTAAAACCTGGAGTAGCCAGCTCCTAAAATCAGCACTTACATGGCTATGGCACTAAAATTTGCCTGGTTTTATTTTTATTATTTATTTATTTATTTATTTACCTACCTATTTATTCTATGGTGGAGATGTGCACAGACCACAGCTCGCACGTGGAAGACAGGGGAAGCCCATGGGAGCCAGTTCTCTCTTCCACTGTGTGGTTTCCTGGGGAGCGAACTCATGTCCTCCAGCTTGAAGGCAAACGACTTTATCCACTGAGCCCGGCCCTTGACCCATTTTACAGCATTTCCTCCATATGTGCACAGTGGCATGTGCAAGCCCACAGATCCTCCTGCCACCATAACTGTAACTAGAATAAGTTAGCAAAGATGTAATTTGACTCCAGGCCCAAGTGAGAATGATACTCGGTCACATGACAGTGGCAGTGGTCAGTGGGGAGCTTTGTCTGGCTTTTCTTCATGTATCTGCTGTTCTCGGAAGTGATCTTCCGTGTACTTTCAACGTTATTGTCCCACTATAGAGAGTCTTGAATTAAGGTTTACTGACCCACCAGGGGGCCTAAGATTATAGAACTATTATAGGGGTGAGGAGATCGTTTGAGGTCTCCCATCTCAAGCCTTGCCTTGCATCAGTTCCATAAAGAAGCTGAGTCCTAGAGAAGTGAAAGGTCTCAACTAAGGTCCCCTCAGACAGGACCAAGTGGCGCCTGGGTCTTTAGGTATCTAGAGTACATGTCTAGGTCTCCCTTTTCTTACCAGCAGAACCAGGGTGCAAGTTGAGACCCATCTCCACGACCAGAAATGAATGGAACTAGTTCTCATTCATGTTTCCAGGTGCAAGTTGAGACCCATCTCCATGACCAAAAATGAGTGGAACTAGTTCTCATTCATGTTTCCAGGGAATTTTTTTCTATAAAATTTGTTCTCCTTTCTCATTGAATTGATTACATTGTTAGACTGGAGATGGGTGTAAATGAAGAGAAGTATTTTCTCAGTGGCTGAGTTTTTGGCTTTGCCCCCTTCCTTTGTCTCTCCTCTGTGATCTCAAGTTCAAAAACCCTTCCCATCTTCCTCATCCTTAAAGACGCCCACTGAGGGGACAGAGGTCTACCATTTCAAAAGTCTGCACAATCTAAACTCCATCCTCATCATTAGCCCACATCTCTGGCTCTGTAATTCAATGCTGGTTTCTTTTTATTTGCTACCCAAAATTGGTAGCACTAAGAAATCATATTGACTGTCCTTCTTAGCACAGTTAGGATAATCAACAGCCACATTTTGCATGTTAAAAAAAAAGTCTTGAAGATCTAACAATTCTTATGGATCTACCTTTTAGGGGAGGAAGCTGGGCTTGTGAATTTAGAAGGTAAACCCTCAGGCTCATCATGGTGGTACACCCCAGAGGCGAAGCTGAAGAGAAAAGATGGGCCATCTAAGCAAGGTCGTCTAGCATGCAGGAAACCACAAGTTCCATCCTCAACGTTCTCTGAACTGGATATGGTGGTGCATATCTGTCACCTCAGCACTAGAGAGCTGGGGACAGGTTGACCAAGGTCACCCTTGACTGCATAGTGAGCTTTACACCAACATGGGCTACATGAGGCCCTGTCTCAAAAATTGGGGAAAAATTGAAAAGGGAAGCAAACATCAAGTCTACAATCTGCCTCTTCCTCAAGTATTTGAGGCAAGACTTATGGCCACTGTGAGTAATCCCAGAATCCCAGCCTTCTTTCCTCCAGGTCTCTTTACCTGAGAAATGTGGTCCTTGCCTTAAAAGGAGAGGCTCTGAATCTCTTCTTGGAGTCTGAGGACCTGCTTGGGTCTCAACCCCCAGGTTTCTATCACAGTGCATTATCAGGGCAGAGGTGACTTGGGCATCACATGGTTCTGGGCCTGACCCCCAATCCACACTGACCTACCATGCATACACTTTGTTTGGACACACTGTGCTTTTCTGTGACTTTGCTTCCTTCCTTGCACAACTGAGAGGATGAACTGTACTCCTGTACTTCTGGGTTCCTGAAGTGTAAATGTGCCCAGCACAGAGAGAGCCTCACTAAATTATCCTTTACCTTTCCCTCTGGGAGACACTCACCATGTCCCAAACTCCTAAGTGCCAACCCCATGGCCAGTGGAAATCATGCCTTCTCATCCTTCCCTCAGGATCCTCACCGTGGAAGCCAAAGCCACCCACCAGGATGCCCTTCTTCAGCAGCTGGGGTAGGGTTGGTTGATGACCTTGTCAAGGATGGATCAAGCTTCCTTCATGAAGATGAGGATGACCCTGTGACCCTGAGTGATGGGAGCCAGGCAGGATGTGTCTTTTGAAGGCACCTGTAAGACACCATCCTTTGTAACACATTATTCTTTATGATTTAAACACTGCTATCCGGTCTCCTCCACTCACTAAACCTCAAATTCAGTGGGTGAGGGGAAAAAGAAAAAAACTCAGGACTTTATCCAAGAAGCAAAAACTTGTTTTGTATCTGTTTTTTCAAAATCTTCTGCTCAGATAGAGGCAACCCACCGCTTTTTATTCACCTACAGATGTTATGTTGCAAAGCAGATGCCTAGGATTTAGTATCTGTGTTACTAAGGCCTCAGATCTATTGATTGATTAAGAACATGATTATTGAGAAATAAGTTACATGCAATAAAATTCACCTGTTTAAAAGCATGGAATCCCCTAGGTTTGTGAGTCAGAGAGTCGAGTAACTG